AGGAGAGGAAGCAGTGAAGGTAATATTTCGAACAAGAATCAAAGAAAAATACACACAAATCATGATCCGTGTATATTATACCTTCTCATTCATGTTCCAATGTTTTGATGATAAGCCATTTCTCCTGTTGATAGTTGATCGTTGTTTGAGACAGAGTAAAAGAAAGTTAGTGGGAGACTTGGGTGTATGGAATACGGCAAAATAAGTTATAAATAGCGTTCAAAGTTTTTATCTAAAACCTCAAATTCGACCTAAAATATAATCTAAAGCTTCACATTCAACAAAGCAAATCAACATTATCAATGAATTAAGCATCTAAAGTTGTATACATGAAGTAATATAAAAAAAACTAGGGTTTTACCTTTCTTGGGGAAGAAATCGAGCAAGGAGGTGGCGAGATTGGGAGGGCAGATGTGCCGGCGAGATGGGGAGGGCAGATGGCGACGGCGACCAGGACTGTCGGTCGGAAAAACGGAGAAGGTGGGTGGACGAACACAGCTGCGTCTTCGTCGAATAAGGGGATGTGTTCGTCTGCGTCTCCCTGCGGCGACAACTGTTCTTCGGAGATGGAGGCAGCAAATCGATCAGACGAGCGGTGATCGCGTTTGAGGAGCGGAGGACCGGAAAAATGGAGGAGACAGCGGAAAAGGGAGAAGAAAGGAGGAGAAGTCTGGAGTAGGAAATCGCGTTTTGTCTCAAGAGGAGCGCGGTTTTGCCCTAAGAGGAGAAGTTTTAAGAGAAGTTTTATTATACGGGACAAAAAAAACGGACAAAAAAAAGTTGGGTAGGATTCGAACTCGGGTATCATCATCAAAGTCACAAGCTTTACCATCCGGTCGGGCATGCCACATCCGAATTTAATAGCCCCTAAATCATTCATATACAATAACTACTTTTCCTTTAATCTATTATTATTATATATATTAAAGTTGTGGAAGAAAGGAATAGTAAACTTGGCATACTTTGTCCAGGTTTGGTCCCTTGATTTACATATCCGGTCCCTGTACTTCTTTAATTAATTTATTCATGTCATTTTGTTTGTGTTCCATTCAACTTCCCATTTTTTTGGCAGAATTGGTCCCTGTATTATTGTTGGAAGTTAGGAATACTAAATTTGGATGTTTTTTTGGCAACTTTGCTTAATATTCTTTACCCATTTTGACACTTTTGGTCCTTGCAATCAATATTTTTACACTTTTTTGGAACCTTTTAATATTTAAAGTTTGGCCACAAAACTTTAACGGTTTGACAACTTTGATCCCTTTTCTAAAAAGTTGCTAATTCCTACCCCTTTAATTCTGTAGCCATTTTCACACTTCTGGTCCTTGCAGTCAAAACTTTTGCATTTTTTGTCCGAAGCAAAGCCCAGACTTTTCATCCTTGCACTTTCTATGTCTGTCATATTTATCAATTCGGAAACAACATTGAAAGCTTCTGGGCCCGCGTCGGGGGGTAACCTTTCTAGTTATTATTATTATTATTATTATTATTATTATTATTATTATTATTGCTAATACTATAATTATTATTAATATTATTGTTACTACTAATATTATTATTATTATTATTAGTATTATTATTACTACCGATATTATTATTATTATTATTATTATTATTATTATTATTATTATTATTGCTAATACTATTATTATTATTAATATTATTAATACTACTATTATTATTATTATTATTATATTATTATTATTATTATTATTATTGCTAATACTATTATTATTATAAATATTATTATTACTACAAATATTATTATTATTATTATTACTACCGATATTATTATTATTATTATTATTATTATTATTATTATTATTATTATTATAATGGTGGTGGTGGTGGTGGTGATGGTGGTGATGATGATGATGGTTATTATTATAATTATTAATATTATTGATATTATTATTATTATTATTATTATTATTATTATTATCATGCGGTGGCGGTGGTGGTGGTGGTGGTGGTGATAGTGGTGGTGATGATGATGATCATGACGACGATGATGACGACGATGATGACGACGATGATAATGATGGTGATGATGATGATGATGATGATGATGATGATGCAGATGATGATGATGGTGGTGGTGGTGATGATGATGATGGTGATGGTGATGATGATGATGATGATGATGATGATGGTGGTGGTGGTGGTGGTGATGATGATGATGATGATGATGATGATGATGATGATGATGATGATGATGATGATGGTGGTGGTGGTGGTGGTGATGATGATGATGATGATGATGATGATGATGGTGATGGTGATGATGATGATGGTGGTGATGATGATGATGATGATGATGATGATGGTGGTGGTGGTGGTGGTGATGATGATGATGATGATGATGATGATGACGATGATGGTGGTGGTGGTGGTGATGGTGATGATGGTGATGGTGATGATGGTGGTGTGGTGGTGATGATGATGATGATGATGATGATGATGATGGTTGTGGTGGTGATGATGATGATGATGATGATGGTGATGATGATGGTGATGATGATGATGATGGTGGTGGTGGTGGTCGTGGTGGTGATGATGGTGATGGTGATGATGATGATGATGGTCGTGGTGGTGATGATGATGATGATGATGATGATAGTGGTGATGGTGATGATGGTGATGATGGTGATGATGATGATGATGATCATCATCATCATCATCATGATGTAGGTATACGTGTTTGTGAGATGTATGTGAACGTGTGTTAAACCATTAAACGAGTAATGGATCCCGTATGTGCACATGACTTTATGAATGATATTAATAGCTATAAGTTGGTGAAAATATAGATAATCATGTATAATAGAGGTGTGAAAAAAACGGAGCGAAAAAAACGATGTTTAGTACACGAAAAATCAAAAATAAGAAATATCCGTAGCTAATTAGCTACAGAATTCTAACGAAAAGCATATTCCGTAGCTAATCCGTAGGTAATTACCTATGGATTAGCTACGGAGTATGCTTTCCGTTAGAATTTTGTAGCTAATCCGTAGCTAATTACCTATGGATTAGCTACATATTTTTCTTATTTTCGATTTTTCAGGCACCAAACGTCGTTTTTTTCGCTCCGTTTTTTTCACACCTCTATTATACATGATTATTTATATTTTCACAAAATTATAGCTATTAATATCATTTATAAAGTCGTGTGCACATACGGAATCCATTGCTCGTTTAGTGGTTTAACACTATAATGCTTATGTATACGTTCACATACATCTCACAAACACGTATACATACACATATACACGTACACATATACCACAACTCATTCCTGTATATAAAATATATATATATATCATTATATATATATAATATATATATATATATATATATATATATTAATATAAAACATAATCCATCACAAATTGGTGCAAAGTATAGGCATTACAATGTTAAACTGTGAAACGAGTACTTGATCCCGAAGGGGCACACAACTTTATGAACGATATTAATATCTATAAGTTGGTGAAAATATAAATAATCATGTATAGTAGAGGTGTGAAAAAAACGAAGCAAACAAAACGACGTTGTCGTTTTTTTCGCTCCGTTTTTTTCACACCTCTATTATACATGATTATCTATATTTTCACCAACTTATAGCTATTAATATCATTCATAAAGTTGTGTGCACATACGTGTTCCATTACTCGTTTAGTGGTTTAACACTATAATGCTTATGAATACGTTCACATACATCTCACAACCACGTATACATACACATATACACGTACACATATACCACAACTCATTCATGTATATAAATATACATATACAAACATAATCCATCACAAGTTGGTGCAAAGTATAGGCATTACAATGTTAAACTGTGAAACGAGTACTTGATCCCGAAGGGGCACACGACTTTATGAATGATATTAATAGCTACAAGTTGGTGAATATATAGATAATCATGTATAGTAGAGGTGTGAAAAAAACGAAGCGAAAAAAACGATGTTTGGTGCCCGAAAAATCGAAAATAAGAAAAATCTGTAGCTAATCCGTAGCTAGTCCATAGCTACTTAGCTACGGATTAGCTACAGAATTCTAACGGAAAGTATACTCCGTAGCTAATCCGTAGGTAATTAGTATCCGTAGGTATTCCGTAGCTAATTAGCTACGGAATAGCTACGGATTAACATATGTAGCTATTTTGTAGCTATTCCGTAGCTAATTAGCTACGGAATAGCTACGGATTAACATATGTAGCTATTTTGTAGCTATTCCGTAGATAATTAGCTACGGAATAGCTACGGACTACCATCCGTAGCTATTCCGTTACTAAACTAGGGCACCCAATTCTGTAGCTGATCCGTAGCGATTCCGTAGCTAATTAGCTACGGAAATTTTCCGTAGCTATTTTCCGTAGGAAAACCTCATGTTTTCTAGTAGTGAAATGTTGTTTCTCTCCTGCCGATATCTAGGCTTTTTGGAAACGGTTTTTATTTGGAACTTTTATGGTGAAATCCTCTTTAAATCAAAGTTTGGACGAACCTAACCGTATGAGCCGATTTCGTCGACATTTGTTGTGAGATAAGCATCTTTCAAAAGAGTAATAAAAAACCTGATCACTAAAAACTTATCAAAAATAACCGTACGTTTGAATTTATCAAAAAGTACCACAAAGTTTGAACTTATCAAAATTTTGTCGTGACATCTTTTTATGATTTAATTTATAATTGTTTTATCATGGTGATTTAGAGCTACATCTTCGAAAACTTCCATTGTTCATTGAATAACCCTATATCATAATTCATAAAAAGATTGATGATTCTGTGTTTGACAGGGTACAACTCTTGCTGTTGCTGGAGGCAGCAGTGCATCAGTGAAACTATGGGACACTGCAGAATGGAAACTCATAGCAACATTATCAATCCCACGTCCTGAAGGAACAAAGCCCCTCTGATAAAGGCAACAACAAGAAATTCGTTCTCTCAGTTGCATGGAGTCCTAATGGAAGACAACTAGCATGTGGATCAATGGATGGATCCATTTCTGTATTCGATGTTCAAAGAGCCAAGTTTCTTCACCATCTCGATGGCCACACAATGCCTGTTCGTTCTCTTGCATATTCACCATTAGACCCAAGAGTTCTTGTTTCAGGATCAGATGATGAACGTATTCATATGTATGATGCAGAAGGAAAGACTTTGTTTTCATCAATGTCAGGTCATTCTAGTTGGGTGTTGAGTGTTGATGTGAGCCCAGATGGTGCAGCCATTGCATCAGGGTCAAGTGATCAAACCGTGAAGCTGTGGGACCCGAAAATGAGGGTTGCGGTTCAGACCATGACTAACCATACAGACCAGGTTTGGGGGGTGAAGTTTGAAGGTGGGGGAGGTGGTGTTAGAGGGTGTCTTCTTGCAAGTGTATCAAATGATAAAAGCATCTCACTTTACAACTATTCTTGACTTTCTTTGACTTTGACTTTTTTTTTTTCCATTTGTTTTGCTTTTTGTTTGTTAATTGTACTTTCTTTTTCATTGTAACATGGAACATATATTGAAGACTTAATTAGTGTTGTTGCAGGTTTCAGAATCAGTATTATAGTTCTAGCAAAATCTTTGATCTTGATGAGTAAATCACGGTAAATTGCTGCTATAGTTTGGTAAAAAGTTCAAATTATAATCTTGTTAATAGTTACAAGAAAAGAAATTGTAATAATGTTATAATTGGGTAAATATTCTGAAGTACAATTAGTACAATGTTGTATAGAAAGAAATGGAAGTAGAATGTTATAATGAGACAAAGGCTAAGGTATATATAATATAAGGTATATAAAATAGGGAAAATGATTTATAAGCCCAACGAAATTTTCAAACCGTTCAAAAAACCCAATTATGTTTTTTCTATTCAACAAAACCCAACGAACTTAACCTTTTGTCTAAAAAGCCCAACTAACTTACACTTTCGTTCACTTCTCATTTATGGTCAACCGGCTAATGAAAGTCAACTAATGACATGACTTATGACGTGTAATTAAATATCGGAAAATGACTCGCAAGACCAACGAAGTTTCAAAATCGTTCAAAAAACCTCAATCATGTTTTGTTTGTTGAAAAAAACCCAACGAAATTACGCTTTTGTTCAATTCTCATTAGAGACAACCAGATTCATTACGTATACAACTAGTTGGCAAATCTTTTTTCTTCTTCTCTTTTTTTTTCACACAACCGCCTCTCTTTTCCCTTCCACCGACCTCGCCAACCTGTTAAAAATTCAGATCTTAACAATTCAGAGTCTCTTAAAATTTCAAATCTTGTAAACAACTCTGGTCTTGTTTTACTTCCTATAGTTAGGTTGTGCATGATGGACACTCCATACCCCATTGTCATATCAGTTTTCACGTGCCTCATGTGACTATGTGAGAAGAGGAGATGTTCATCATCCTCATGTCTTGAAGATGCACCACCCAAGAGAGAACAAGGTGTGGTGGGTTGTAGTTTGCCTCACATAACACCACACCACATCCTCTCAACGTTGGGGAGGAGGTCCACATGGTCATGCATGCCACATAAACAATGTCCCTTGTGCATATGGTGTGTACATCGTGCCTAGCCTTATGGTTTTGAAAATTTTGTGTTTCTCACTTTGTGGAAATTTGAATAGCATAATAATAAATGAAGCGAGAAAACATATATACATTTTATCATATTAGTTATTTTATTCCTTTTTTTTAAGAAAGAACAAGAAATACATTATTTGATTGTGGTTATTATTAATTTTTTATTTTTAATTCGTGATATATACAGAAAAGCACAATTAATTATACATGTATATGTGGAAAAACATTTATATTGTTTTTATGTTCAAAAAAACTTTTATATTAAAGTTACCATTTGAAAAAGACCAAAATACGAGTTTTTAAGAGAAATTGACGACTACAAATCTGATGTTGCTTATATTTTTGTTTTTTAATACAACTTTGATGTTAATTATGATAAAAAGGATTAGTTAAGGAGGGAAAATTAATCGTATAATTTCGGATGGAGAACATAATCGAACAAAAGTAATCGAAATAAATGTACGTGTTGATATGTTTTCGCATACAATCAAGAAAATATAAGAGATATGTATGTCATATAATATTTTTAGCAGGTCATTTCTTTTAAAATTTTGCAATTTTGTTTTATTTAAAACGTAAATAATAATATAAGGGTTTTTCTGAACTTAAAAATAATATGAACATTTTTATATATATACATGGATAATTGGTTGTGCTTTCTCTCTCTCTCTCTCTCTCTCTCTCTCTCTATATATATATATATATATATATATATATATATATTATATATATATATACATACTAGTGGTGTATCCGCGCAAAGCGGCGGCTGAGATGGTTTCATTTCAGTAAAAAAACCCCAGAAAATAATTTTCTTTCGGAAACATGTTGTATTCGTTGTCAGTTGCCACTTACGTTTGTCAGTCAGTCTTGGTTCTTTAGGGTATGAAAAATCCAATGCTATAACTGATTAGTTTTTTTTTTTTTTTTTTTAAAAATTGACCATCAATGTTTAGTTTTTAAGAAATCTTGAAAACGGTTAGTTTTTCAAAGAAAAAAATGAAAGCGCAGTTGCTTAGTTTTTCAAAAAATATGAGAGGGTAATACTAAAACCGGCTAGTTTTCAAAAGAAAAAGAATGTGCAATTTCGTTATTGTAATGCCCGTAGATCCGAGCTAGTCAATTTAGAGATAATAGGGGTCGAAAACGACTTTTTGACAAAAGATTATTTAGAATAAATAATCTTAACCAAGTTGTAGAATACGTCTCAAGGGATCCGTACATATAAATAACGTTGAAATCCGAGTTATAACGAAGAAGTTATGGTACGTCGAAGTTTTATGGCAAAACCGGCGCGACACAGGGAGACGTAAATAGTGAATTTACGATGGAGGACTTTTTAGCCTTAGAAATCTAAACAAAAGTTGTAGTATACGTTAAACCGAGAACATACAAAAAAAAGAACGCCCAAATCTGACTTCGTATGAGGAAGTTATGAATTTTCTAAGATTTGGTTTAACAGTGCACAACCCGAAACTCGAATTTTAGATCGAGCGGTTTTTGGCCTACGCGACCTAAATGAGAATTGAAGATCTCATTAATATGAACTCAACGGTAAAAAGACAGACAAAAACAGAGTCTGTATGTAGAAGTTATGAATTTTACGCGGATATTTAATAGTATAATCTCCTCGTATTGTTAAATTTAAGATCGGTCGAATGTGAAAGTTACGGATTTTAGAAGTCGGAAGTGTGATGTGCGAAAATGGGTGATGTGTCAAAATCTTGGTCATTGTTTTCTCCCCAAGTCTTTCCACTAGATGGTGACATGTGGCACCAACTTCAGCCATTTTTCACCCTATAAATAGAACCTCTCCCACCCTCATTTTCTTCACACATTTCCCATTCTTTCTTCTCTTTACTCTCTCTCTCTCTCTAGAACCTCTCTCTAGCCCCAAACCCCCCCCCCCCCTGAAAAGCCTAGGGAACCTCCCTAGCACGAGGCGGAAGCCCCGGAGTGCTCGACGGCTCCGAGAAGAAGAGCTTTTCGGCTCGGGAACTGTGCTCCAAGCAAAGCCCGGTTTTCTATAAACCCGCTGTAAGTGAGCTACGCCTACGCTATTTTTAATATAGCTTTTATTTAATTATAGTAACGTTATTAGGAACTTATAATAAGTACTTGGACTATTATTATGGGTTATATAAGTATTTTTTAACGCTTATATAATAGTAATAATAGCTAGACTATTAATTAGTCTCGACGAATAATAGACTAAACTCTAGTGGTAATAATACTAGGTTTCGCCGAAGGAAATTATTTTTAAGAAGCGAAGCGCTGTCTGAGTTCAGAATCACCACCTTTTCAAGTGAGTGCATAGTTACTTTCATCTTACACATAGATATGAAGTATTTTATATAAATTATGTGTTATGTGTGCATATTATCTGTATACTTGCTATCTATGTTGGATAAACGATTTTATACATGTTTTAAAATGATTTAAACTGTATGTGTATTTTATATCTACAAAATATGTTGGGTAAAACATGGGTAGATGTCATAGTTGTTGTGTGATAAAATAAAATAATGAGAGACCTCGATGTTATTGATGATCTAGTCATCTAGCGGAGTATAGATGACGACCACAGACTATTCTAGACAGTCTAGTGGAACACTAGCAGGCTCGTAACTTGTAGGTGTTTTTTGAACTACGTATTCACTAGGTATTTTTGAACTAAGTGTTCACCATATGTTTTGAACTAAGTGTTCACCATACGTTTTGAACTACGTGTTCACTAGATGTTTTGAACTACGTGTTCACCAGATGTTTTGAACTGCGTGTCCACCAGATGTACCCTGTTGTATAAACCCTGGCGACTATACGACTTAGTGTATGTTGTATAAACCCTGTCGACTATGCGACTTAGTGCCTGTTGAGTAAACCCTGAAAACGATGGATTTCGTGCCGATTCCTTAGGATGATCCTTAGGAATTAATGAACGAGGAATAGCTGAATCTTAGGGTAGATCCTTAAGAGTAAAGAAGATAATGGGGATGGGTAATTGGGTTGATTGTTTGATGTTTAAACATAATAATTATATTATTGTGGGTTGAAAACCCTATGTACTCACCAGGTTTCCCAACCTGACCCACTCAAGCTTATTTGTATCACAGGTGTCAATATGAAGCTACTTTACACTGAGAGATTTAAAAGAGATGTAGATCACTAGTGTAAATGAATGTAAGTTCTGTTTATGCTTATGTTTCTGTATTGACGATGACATCCCAAATGTTTTAAAGTGAATAAAAATACATTTCTTCGGAAATGCTTTGATAATGTATTTATCATGTTTTAATGGGAACTAATTCCACAACATTTTTATTAAAAGAAGTACTCTGATTTTTATAAAGCATAAACAAAATTCGTCTCTTTTGGCCGTGAAAATGGGGATGTCACAGTTATCACTTAGTTTTTCAATAAACCTAAAACTACAATGCTAAAACCGGTTAGTTTTAAAAAAAATGAAAGTGCAATACTCTAGCCGGTTACTTTTTTCAAAAATTATTAAACGTCAATATTATAATTGGTTAGTTTTTAAGAAACCTTGAAAATGTTATTATTTTAGAAAAAAAAAAAGTGCAATGCTATTATTGGTTAGTCTTCGAGAATTTTGGGAGTGCAATGCTAAAAAAATTTATGCAAGGGATTTATGTTTGTTGATTACCTAATATATGTTTGAACCAGACAACGACATTGTGACTATATATAATTTGAAGTATTTTCTTTTTATATTTTTATTTTTATAACATCTCCAAATTTATTAATTTTGATATGGACAAATAGGCTTTTTTTATTGTCTATAATTATGTAACATCTTCACACCAAACATTTTTATTAAAAACATTT